TGGAATTGAGCATGAGGTTACTGCTCCATATACTCCTCAACATGATGTTCTTGCTGAAAGAAGAAATCGTACTTTGCTAGATATGGTGAGAAGCATGCTGAATGAGAAGAAGCTTCCTCATACTCTATGGGGAGAAGCTGTTGCAACTGCATGTTATGTGCTCAACAGATGTCCAACAAAGAAATTAAAGGAAATAGTTCATATTCAGAAGTGGGCTGGAGATAAGCAAAGTGTTAGTCATCTGAAGGTATTTGGTTATGTATGTTACAAACATGTCCCAGAAGACAGAAGCTGGATGATAGAAGTAAAGTGATGTTGCTGGTGGGGTATCATAGTACAGGTTCATACAAACTTTATTGTCCAGAAACTAACAAAGTTGAGTTCAGCAGAGACGTCATTGTAGAGGAATCAGAAGTTTGGAATTGGGAAAAATCTCGTCCTGACTCTGATGACAGAACTTCTGAAGAAAGGTCAGAAATACATGTTTATGAAGCTAGTAAAGACTCTGACTCTGAAGAAGATACAGAAGGAGAAGATGATTCTTACTCTGAATCTGATGGTGATCCAAACTCTGAAGATAGTCAAGGTTCTGGAGAAAGTCCAATTTCTGAAGCAAGTGCTTATGAAGGGGAAAGTTCTGGTGTCCAAAGTTCTGAAGGTCCAGTTTAGAGGCAACAAAGAGTCAAAAGCATCCCAAGAAGATTTGTAGAGTTTGACATGTTCCTAGACACTGAAGTAAACTCTGAAGGAGAAGTTATTCAGTGTGCAATGTTAGTAGACTCTGAACCCGTGAGTACGAAAGAGGCTCTTAAGCACCATGTTTGGTTACAGGCCATGAAAGAAGAACTTGATGCTATAGAGAGAAACAAGACTTGGAAGCTGACAGAACTTTCAAAAGGCAAGAAAGCCATCAGCGTCAGATGGGTTTTCAAGCAGAAGCTAAAGCCAGATGGATCAATTGGCAAACACAAAGCGAGATTAGTAGCAAGAGGCTTTCTACAGAAGCCTGGGCTAGATTACTTTGAAGTGTTTGCACCTGTAGCGAGACATGAAACAATCAGACTAGTGATTGCAATAGCTGCTAACAGGAATTGGCCTCTAATGCATTTAGATGTAAAATCTGCATTTCTGAATGGTCCATTACAAGAAGAGGTGTACGTTTCACAACCTCCTGGATTTGAGAAAAAGAATCAGGAAGGGATGGTGTTCAAATTACACAAAGCATTGTATGGATTGAAGCAAGCGCCCAGAGCTTGGAACTTGAAGATTGATTCGTTTTTCAAGGAACAAGGGTTTCAGAAGTGTGAGATGGAGTATGGTGTTTATGTTCAGCACACTTCAGAAGGTAATATGATTCTGGTATGTTTGTATGTTGATGACATATTACTCACAGGAAGTTCTGAACAAGAGATAACTGAGTTCAAGAAAGTTCTGATGAATGCGTTTGAGCTGACAGATCTTGGAAAAATGAGTTTCTTTCTAGGGATGGAATTTATATACTCTAAGAAAGGAATCATTTTACATCAGATGAAGTATTAACTAGAGCTTCTGAAGAGATTTGAGCTAGAAAATTGCAAGGTTGCTATCACACCTGCTGATACGAATCAAAAGTTGGATTCTGATTCTGATGGAGAGGATGTGGATGCTACAACCTTCAAACAGATGGTTGGTTCTCTAAGGTATTTGTGTAATACCAGACCTGATATTTTCTATGCAGTTGGAATGGTTAGCAGATTTATGAGCAAACCAAAGTGGTCTCATTACCAAGCTGCAGTCAGGATTCTGAGGTATGTGAAGGGAACTCTGAAATATGCTGTGTTATTTCCGTCTGGAAGAAAGATCGAATCAGAACTTCTGAGTTATTCTGATTCTGATTGGTGCGGAGATAGAGTTGACAGAAGAAGTACTTCTGGGTACTTATTCAAATTTCTGGGAGGTCCTATTTCTTGGTGTTCCAAGAAGCAACTTGTTGTTGCTCTGTCAACCTGTGAAGCTGAATATATTACAGATGCACTGACTGCATATCAAGCTGTGTGGATTCTGAACTTGCTGAAAGATCTGAAGATTGAGGTGAATAAACCTCTGAAGTTGATGATTGATAACAAGTCTGCAATCAATCTTGCCAAGAATCCAGTGTTGCATGGGAGAAGCAAGCATATTGAAACCAAGTATCATTTTCTGAGGAATCAAGTTCAGAATGGAATAATAAAGGTTGTGCACTGTAGCACTCAGAAGCAACTGGCAGATATTCTGACAAAGGCTATCAAAACTGATCAATTTCTTGGTTTAAGGGATGGAATTGGTGTTTTTAGTTTTGGGTAAATATAAATTAAGGGATCGTGTTAGAATTAATTTAGATTTAATTAGATATTAGTTTATATTTAAGAATATCTTTTAGATTGCTTATATCTTTGTTAGAAGATATATATATCTTAGATCTTCTTATATCTTTGTAGAAGATATATTTTAGATTTAATTTGTGTGTATAAATAGCCTAGTGGAGTAGGTTATTGTAATTCATTGTAAATCCTTATTTTTTTGAAGCTATCAGTAAATATTCCTTTTGCCTTTTATCTTCCTTGTGCTCTAACATAAAGGAGGAGGAGTTCAATCAACAACAAGCTTAGGGTTTATGGAGTTGCTCTTAAACACATCTCTTTTGTATCAACAATTTTGCATAGTAAGAATTATCATAATTCCATTGTAATTAGGCGCAGAAGTACCCACACGCGAGGACGATATTGGGAAACTGTGAAGACAAATTTCTTGTTTCTCTCTTATTTTTGTTTTTACTTGCTTTGATATTCATAAATCAATTTGTCAAATAGCATTGAGTTATCAATTGAATTGTAAGAATTTTTCAAACTGTTTTTTAATTATAAATCAAGTGTTGATATAACTTATAATCACTTTTGATTATAAGTGGTTTTGTGTATCAACACAACTAAAGGAAAAATTCTGAAAATTCACTTGCACATCAAGTATTTGATAAATAGATTCAACTAGTTCATTTTAATATTCCCATTGGAAATAACTTTACCAGTAAATAGTGATAAATGTTAAATAAGTTGTTAAGCGATTCAACTATATTAATTCATTTTTTTTATTCTTATTCCATATTGAATTTGTTGTTAATGTTCGCATAGACGATAATTTAAAAAAACTTCAGCATCGCTCTTTGATAAAATATCTTTTTTAAAACTATATTTTTGTCTAAATTTTTAAAAAATGTATCTATTCATCCCTCAAAATACACTGCCGTAGTCTAACAATATATGTTTTTCCATGTAAAATAGGTTGAAACAAAAGACATTCCAATGTATCATTATTATTAGAATTTATTTGACTTTTTTTACATAAATGTTTATTTTATAAAAGAAAAAATATTATTTGTATTATTTATGTTCAATTAAGTAAGTGACTTATAATTATACACAATTAATATCAATATTATAAATTAAAAATGTGTCAATAATAATGATACACAATTAATATTAATATTGTGAATAAAAAATCATATTAATAATAAATATTTATTACTATTATTTCTTTTTATTTAATAATAATAATATATTAGTATTATTTTTAAATTAAGAATTTTTAAATAAAAAATTCTGCACATTTATTTATTAGAACAAAAAATTGTATTAATTAACACTAACGTTATCATTAAATTTTAATTAAAATAAAGTAAATCTTTAGGTAAGTAAGAGTTTTTTATCTTTAACATTGCACTATTTGTAAATTATTAGATGGCTAATAGATAATAGGAATAGAAAATTAGTACATAAATATAATAATAAAATGTTTTATCTTACATGTCAGTATTAGCACACTTATTAACATATAAACATTTTTATGAAAGATTAACAAACCAAATAAATGATATCAAAAAATATTTATATATTAATTACCTACCATATTTATTTCATTATCTAATTAAAACTAATTTCATGGCTTTTGTCGATAAGAACAATGAGTGATAAATTTTATCTTTAAATCTTATATATATATATATATATATATATATATATATATATATATATATATATATATATATATATATATATATATATATATATATATATATATATATATATATATATATATATATATATATATATATATATATATATATATATATATATATATATATATATATATATTATTGTATTATATTTATTTATTATTTAGTATAACATTATAGAACTCGTGTGAATGCACGATAGATGACTATTTAATTATTTTCTTTATTTTTTTAATTAAAATATATATTTTTGACGGATCGAGACTATTTAATTTATATTTTTTAACTATCATTATACTATATTTATTTACTATTTATAATTTGATATTGTACAACTGATACAAACGCACAAATAAATAATTATTGAATTATTTTTTTATTTATTTTTAATAAATATATATTTTTGATAGATCAAAACTATTTAATTTATATATTTTTTATATTATTTTCTTAATTATCATTATATTATATTTATTATTTAAAACAATATTAAGTGATAGATGCGAAGGTTCCTTCAATAGTTTGACTTTATATAAATTGATGTTCTAACTAACCTTCTGAACCGAGAGAAATTTGGAGGCATTTTTCTAATATCTATCCGACAATAGATTAAGAAAATTCTATTCCCACATTTTATATATGTTAATGTCATTACTTACGTTAAATAAATGCATCGATCCGCCGACGGTAAAGACAAAATGCATTTTGGAATTTCTTCTCATTTCATTTTCATTTCCATCCTGCTGCCTCACACGAAAGCCTTAAGTCGTTGAAATTCACTTCAACGTGCGTTAATAATTATTACTCCCCTTTCCATCACGTTTATTGCTCATTCATACACTCACATAATATCTATAACTAGCTAAAAGTAGATATCATACCACAACAAAAGAGTAATAACAACTTCTTCAAACTCACCTATAATTAGTGGTATATATGTAACATCTTATTTTTATTACAAAACAGAAACTTCATGGAATCTTATTCTACCTCATGTTCTTCATCTAATAAATCTTCATACACATCCCAAAACACTAAAAAAGCAAATGGATCAATGAAACATGCTCAATACCCTTTACAATCCAAACATTCTTGGCTTCACTCAGTAAGAAAGTCGCCAGCAAAGACATGGAAGAAAGCACTAATAGCACCTGTCAAAGTATACACAGTGGATCCCGTAAACTTCAAAGAACTTGTTCAGTTCCTCACTTGTGCACCTCAGTTCGTGCCTCCACAACCCGACCTTCACAATCTTCCCCAAAGCACGAATATTGACACTGTTCCTTCTAACAACTGGTACCAGTACTTTAGAGCTGAATATTTTGGAAAAAATTATGATCAGGAGGAAGAGGTAATAACACCTGATTTGCTGAAAATGAACTTGCTCTCACCAACTTCTTTTGGTAACTTCTGTTTTGTTCCTCCCATCATGCGCCCAACTATTTGATCTGCTAGGAAGCTGTTCTTTAGCTTGGTGGCTATAGGCCGTTTAGAAGGGATTCATTTTTTCTCTCTTTAATTATTTTTCTGCTATTATGGTTTCATCGCAGCAGCCCAAAATTTCAATTGAGTTATGCATCCATTGGAATTTTAAGCTGCAGCTTGAAAACCATTCTTCTAGATATGTATATGCCGTGTCTTTCTGTAAGTTTACTACAGTCACATTCAAATTTGATTTTGGGTTCAGTAAATGATATTGCAGAATGCTATATATCCAACAACCATGTTATAGAACATTTCAAATTAATAATTCTGATGATTTTATTCATTGATCAAGGTACTATATATACACAAAAGAGTCCCTATAATTCCTCTTCTATTAAGGGAATGAAATAAATTATTTACAGCACAAATATTTTCCTACTTAATTTAGCTAAAATATCTTTGACTTATCATAACACCCCACTCAAGTTGGTGTATGGATATCACACATTCCCAACTTGAACAAAGACTCATTAAGCACCTTACTTGCCACTCCTTTAGTGATAACATCTGCTAACTGAAATTCAGATCTTACAAAAGGAAAAGAAATTATTCCAGCTTCAAGTTTCTCTTTGATAAAATCTCTATCGATTTCTACATGCTTCGTTCTATCATGTTGCACAGGATTGTGCGCAATGGCAATTGCTGAAGTATTGTCACAATACAAAGTCATAGTCTCCCTTGGTTCAAAACCCAAATCTGATAGAACATTTCGTATATATAAAAGTTCACAAACTCCTAGTGCCATGCCTCTAAACTCAGCTTCAGCACTAGACCTTGCTACTACCTGTTGTTTTTTACTCCTCCAAGTTACGAGATTTCCCCCTACAAATGTAAAGCAACCAGAGGTAGACCTTCTATCATTTCTTGAACCTGCCCAATCAGCGTCGGTATACCCTTCTATCTTCAAGTTTCCATGATTTGAGAATAAAATTCTTTTTTCAGGAGTGGACTTCAAATATCTCAAGATCCTTTCAACAGCATCCATATGAGCTTTCTGTGGATCATGCATAAATTGACTAACGACATTTACTGCATATGTAATATCTGGCCGTGTATGAGACAAGTAAATTAATTTTCCCACCAACCTCTGGTATTTTCCTTTGTCTATGCTGGCTGAATTTTGGCATTGAAATAGCATATGATTTTGTTCAATTGGGGTATCAACAGGTTTACACCCAAGCAGTCCCGTTTCAGATAGTAAATCAAGAGTATACTTTCTTTGGCATAGAAAAATACCATGTTTAGATCTAACTACTTCAATACCCAAGAAATATTTGAGGTTTCCAAGTTGTTTCATCTCAAATTCAGAAGCGAGGTATTTTTGCAAACTAGACATCTCATCTTGGTCATTCCCTGTAACAATCATATCATCTACATAAATAATCAAAGTTGTAATTTTGCCTCCTCCTTTCTTCAAAAATAAGGTGTGATCAGAGTTACTTGCTTTATAGCCAAAAGCCTTCATAGACTTAGTAAACCTACCAAACCATGCTCTTGGGGATTGTTTTAATCCATATAGAGTCGTTCTTAACTTGCAAACCTTCATCTCATTTGAATCTATCATACCTGGTGGTAGGTCCATATAAATTTCTTCTAAAATTTCTCCATGTAGGAAAGCATTTTTCACATCAAATTGTAGAAGAGACCAATCTTGGTTTGCTGCTAGTGACAAAAGTATTCTCACAGTGTTGAGCTTGGCTACCGGCACAAATGTCTCTTGATAATCTACACCGTAAGATTGAGTGTAACCTTTAGCCACTAGTCGTGCTTTATACCTCTCAATAGTTCCATCAGCTTTGTGTTTAATTGTATAAACCCATCTGCACCCCACAGTTTTCTTCCCTTTTGGTAACGTCACAAGATCCCAAGTGTTGATTTTTTCTAAAGCTTCCATTTCTACAACCATTGCTTTAGTCCATCTAGGATCTGCTAAAGCTTCCTGCACATTACTAGGAATAGAAATTGAGGATAATTGAGATACAAATGATGCATATGACTTAGATAACATGTGAGATGACACATAATTACTAATGGGATATTTAACTTTGGACTGAAGGTCTGGTTCATATATAATGGGAGGTTGACCACGGTTAGAACGAGGTGGAAGATTATATTGGACAATAATGGATTCAGTGTTAGGTGTGTTGGTGGTCTCATGGAAACTAGGGTCAATTTCATGATCAATTTCATGAGAAAAGGAATCAACTTCAGAATGAACATTAGTACCTACTTTAGAATTAACATTAGTATCAACTCCGTTGATAATTGTATTATCGGGAATAGAATTAGGAAATACCTCTAGAGAGTTAACTTGATCTTGTGGAGAAGATTGAGCTAGTTGATTATCGTCGGGGGAAACTGTATTATCTAAAGGTGATGTGTCCATATTTGAGATTGATTCATTACCTGCAGAATGATCCTCACAAGATAATTTATCTTCACAAAATAAGTCAAACATGCTAACATCATGGTGCTACACTTCACTTTCATTCCCCCCTTGAAGTGTAGAATCAACATAGAAAAAGTTATCTCCATGTAAAGTTACATCCATTGAAATATAAAATTTTTTAGATGATGGATGATAAGCACGATAACCTTTTTGAGTTGATCCATACCCAACAAAGACACATTTAAGAGCTCGTTTTTCAAGTTTTGTACGTTGATGTGGGTGTAAGTGAACATATGTAACACATCCAAAAACATGAGGTAGTAAATGAACAATGGAAGGGAGAACATGATGATAAGATAAAACATCTAGAGATCTTCTAAAGTTATGCACACTAGAGGGTGTTCGATTAATTAAGTAAACTATTGAATTCACAACCTCGCCCCACAAATGAGATGGAACATTACCATCAATTAGGAGTGTTCTAGTAACTTCTAATATGTGTCTATTTTTCCTCTCGGCCACCCCCATTTTGTTGGAGGGAATAAGGACATATTGTTTGATGCAAAATGCCCTTAGAGTTCAAAAAATCTTTTAATTCTTTCTTAAAATATTCCCCTCCATTGTCTGATCTAATTACCTTAATACATGTGTTAAATTGTGTTACAATCATTTGATGAAAGGAGCGAAGCACATCATACACATCACTTTTATGTTGTAGCAAATATACCCAGGTTACCCGTGTACAATCATCAACAAAACTAATAAACCATTTTTTCCCATTATGTGTAGATTGTGGAGCAGGACCCCAAACATCAGTGTGTACTAAAGAGAAAGGAAAGTCTGTTTTCTTATTACTCAAGGGAAAAATAGCACGATGACTTTTTGCCATAACACAAGTTTCACAAAGAAAATCTGAAATATTGCATTTATGAAATAACGATGGAAACAATTTTTTTAGATAACTAAAGGAGGGATGCCCCAATCGTCTATGCCATAGCCAAATTTTTTTTAATTTTAATCTTGTATGTGATCACTTGCAAGATGAACCAATGCTCCTTTATAGATTTGTGAAATTTTTTCAAGATAATACAACCCTTCACTATATCTACCACTGCCAATCTTCTCCTTGGTATGTATATCCTGAAAAACACAGTGGGTTGGATAAAACACAGCGACATATGAATGTGATTTTGTTAATTTACTGACAGAGATAAGATTGCAATTTAAGGTAGGAACAAATAAGACATTAGGTGTTGATAGGAAGGGTGATAGAGTCATTGTACAAACACCTTCAATGAGAGATTCCACTCCATTGGCAGTAATAATAACAGTTTTATGACAATTAGGAGTGAAATTAGTAAACATGTGTTGATCACAAGTCATATGATCCGTAGCACCTGTATCGATTATCCAATCGCTATTTCTAATAATAACAAAAGGATTATGAGCAGAGTTAGACATATCTGACTTGGTTATGAAGCCGGCAGCAGTAGAAAGATGGACAGCAGCGGAAGTTCCAGAATTCTCCGATTTGTTTTTATCAGAAGCCATCAGAAATTACTAAGAAATAAAAAAACCATTGTTCCTATATTGAAAGAGAGACGGTGTTGGCTCTAGATACCATATAGAACATTTCAAAGTAATAATTCTGATGATTTTATTCATTGATCAAGGTACTATATATACACAAAAGAGTCCCTATAATTTCTCTTCTATTAAGGGAATGAAATAAATTATTTACAACACAAATATTTTCCTACTTAATTTAGCTAAAATATCTTTGACTTATCTTAACACATGTTACTCGTTTAATTTGGTTTGAAGTGGAGAATTTATATTCTTTACATTTATTGGGGACTAAATACTATGGTCATCCAGCCTCTCATAGCTTTATCCTAAATGTTTTTCCAACTCCAGTGTCTTTGAGGCGTCAAAGTCACTCTATCTTTGTCTCCATCTCTTATCTACAAGACATTCTCACTCATCTTCCTTGCCCTTTTTTTTTCTTCTCCACTTTTACAATATCAATCCAAACAACCTTCAATGACACTTGGAATTTTTATACAGGATCCACACGAACCCTCAACGCCGAGATTTTACACCAGTTTTGTTCAAAAACTTTCTCCCGATCTTTTTTTTCCAGATTTAACTTGCAACCTTAAATTAATTACACAAATATTACATTAGAGAATCACTCTTAAATAAAATAAATTCAACATAATACTGCAATGCAATTCTCAAAATGAATCTTCAATATTTCAACACTACAACAACTTTAATGAAAAAAAAATCTTAAAAAATAGTAAAAAGGTTAATTTCTATTTAAAATCTAGTGTATAAAATAACGAAAAATCTTATATATATATATATATATATATATATATATATATATATATATATATATATATATATATATATATATATATATATATATATATATATATATATATATATATATATATATATATATATATATATATATATATATATATATATATATATATATATATATATATATATATATATATATATATATATATATATATATATATATATATATATATAATGAATTG